CACCGAGGCAAACGATCGAGCTTGCGGAGGGCGTTCTCGTGCGCGCGCGCTTGGCGCCGGGTTGCTGGTTCTGGCTGGTGGAGGTAGGGACGCCTGCCGCCTCCTGGCTACTGTCGGATCGAGTAGCCTTGTACAGAGTGTCCGATGCTTTCTGGCCGGCCTTCCGGATCCGAGCCCGCTCCTTTCGACCGGGAAGGGAGACGACGCCGTTTACGCCGAGGGCCTCGCTGGCAGTCTGTGTGCTGGCTTGGAAGGGGCCGCAGCAGTTGGCACATTGGGGCCTGGCCATGCAGGGTCCCGTTTCGTGTGAATCGGAAGGTCTTCCGCAGTTGCTGCAGATCGGTCGTCGTCCGCAGAACCGGTTGGAGTGGTAGCCCTGGCAGCCGGGGTCGTGTCGGATGAGCGTCCTTCGTTTCTTGACGGGCAGAGATCTGCCGCTTTGGTTGAAGAGCCTGAAGGGCGTGACCTCTGATGTGAATGATATGAGCCAAGATATTTCGTTCGTGACTGGGTTGGGCCCAAGGCGGGACGGTCAGCAAGGACAGGCTTCTGTCCTGTCTGTGCGAAGACCTCATCTTCAACGAGTGTGGCTGGGTCCAGGACGTCCCCGCCAATGCTGTGTAGTTTTGTTGGGCATCGCGGCACAACGTAAGTGTACCACTTGATAGGCGTCTCGACCTGGTGGGCGCCGAGGCATTCCGCCAGCTTTGCCTTACTTGCAAGTAGTCTTTCCTGTATTTGCTTGTTTCGCGGCTTCAGAGAGTAACCTGTGCTGATATGGTAGACGTGGGGAAGGTCCGCTAGCCCCAGGCCAACGGCCTTACAGACGATCTGTCGTACGGCGAACGGTGCGATCTTCCGAGCGGCCGCTAAGCTTTCTTCCGGGACGCGGGCAAAGATGCGGAGGTCCTCCTTCGGCTGCGCCTGCGGCTGATCCTCGGCGGGGAGTGTGGCCTTCGGGCGGGCAGAGCTCTGGCAGCTCTGGCCGCTCCGGGTCGCCGCAGTGGTGTTGCCCGCCATCGGTGCGACGACAGCCGCCCAACTCCGGGCCGCTATTGGGCTTGTCTCGTGATTGATCAGTCTCTTGAGGGTTTGAATGACATAGGCAGTGGCTTCTTTCGCGATCTGCTTTCTAGAACCGTCAAAGCTGGCGACAACGCTGTCGACGGACCGTGCAATGGTCAGAAAGACGTCTTTCCGTGCCTCGTACTGTCTAGCTTCTTCTGCAAGGGCTGTCAAGACGGACCCTGTGGCAGATCCGCTCGGAGCAGATGCGGTAGAGGCTGCGGGCCCCTCGGCCGAGGTAGGGGCGTCGGTGGTGGCATCAAGCTGGCTTCCCGTTAGGCTGGGCCGGGTCGGCTGTGCCTCGGCGTCGCGGCGTCGCTTAGCTCTTGAGGTGGGGTTCGGCTCCGGAGGTGTCCCGGAGCCTGGTTCGGGGTCGGCTTGGTCGGCCGACATCAGTCCGGTGCCCGACGGCGGCTGTGAGGCCATCGCGGATGCGGGCTCCGGCAAGGGGAGGTGAAGAGTTTTCGGCTGTTAGTAATTTGGTGGTAGGCTCACTCATTCACTAACAGCAGATGCCAAGAAAAATTAGGCGAGAGGGAAGTTGGGTGTCGCTTAATGCGTCAGACGGCTGACAACTGAGGCAAGAAAAAAAAAAAAAAAAAAAAAAAAAAAAAAAAAAAAAAAGATGGCGTAAATAGTAGCGAGCCAGATCCAATTGTCACTACCATCTCTCCAATTGTGTTCGCGTGGAGAAGCCTTTAACTTATAATTGTGGCTGAATTTCTCCAGTCTCAACGGGATTCTTTGGTGCTTTCGGTACCGTCGAGGCGCCAAACAACAAGAACGACAACAACGAACACAATAAGACACAAGGGAAGATCAACAGCAGTAAAATCTGTTAAGATGGCGAAAGAGCCTAACCTGATATTAATGAAGTTAACCCCTGGTACGCCGCCATCGGTTGGCGGTGTCGTTTTCCGCAATACGATTATTCTTCATTGCGCCATCGATCGGGATGCGCGGGCCACTCATCATAAATGCCAGGTCTTTCGTTGCAGCATCTTCCGGCTCGGATAACCCTGTCTAACCCTTAGACTCTTGTCGTATGGTCATAATGTGGGCATCATGATGTGTGATAGAGAACGGTTATTATCAGAAGTAGGGAATAGTTACGAGGCTCACTCTGAAATAGGTATTGTGAGCGAGTAAAGTATGGGTATCGGTGATTATATAACAAAGGTTACGTGACGGGCGGTGGGATCATACATGGTTGGAGCCATAACGACAACTCTTAAATGAAGTTGCTGTTGGACGCCGGTGGTTTGCGTCGATTTGAACTCAGAGGCTGAAAACTCACCTGCCTCGTGGGCCAAAGAATCAAATGAAGCCGGTTCATTCTGTTGGTGTTGCAATTTGATGTCCGCGGGTGCTCCGAAGAGAATTCCAGTAGTTGCTCAAGCCTACCCCTTTTGAAGGGTGTTTGAGCAATAATGCGGGTATCCCGAGGACAGCTTTACACTAGCCGAATGAGGTTCTTGATTCCTTCCAGCAATCATTCGTTGATTCTTTTTGATCCGATTATCTGTCAAGCGCACTGCCACACGAGCCACACCTTTGGCCCAACCTCTCCTCCTTGCTTACCTACCTTTAGATTCAAAAAGCAGTCCTTCAACCGCATGTACGGAGTCAGAGATTTGGTCTAAAGCAACAAAATTAAGCAAAAGATTTATCACTATCTTCCTTGTTCATGACTCTGGTCATGACGTGGGCAGTTTGAGTACATAAACGTGGACAGAATAGGAGTGACAGACACCGCGTACCTATGGATCGGAGGAATACTTATGCTTTTACTTCGTCACCCCCCGCCTGTGCCTTCTTTCCATTTTACCTCCTTTTTTCTCTACACTGTACCCAATCCCGTTTACGGGGTTAGCATGAAATCCACCAAAAGCATTTTTATGCGCATGATTGTTGGAGATCTGAGGCTGTTAAGACCATGAAATGACAAAACTATTGCGTCGGGCTTAGTATAAGGCAACCAGAGGAATCATTGACACGTCTTCCATCTTCTCCTTCGGTCTTGATGTGCCTGACCACAGTAGGGTTCTATTCTGCGAGAAACAATTGGCCATTTCTTGATTTCTGCACCGAAATGGGGTCAGGCTTCCTCAAGTTGGTACTAGGCCATGACATCAATAGTAATGTCTCAGCCTGTGAGACCGAATAGCTTCCGCTGGAGGCCTCCCTTAGTATGAGTACAACCAAGAGGTGCAGTACACGAAGGGATTCTTAGCTTGACCAGGGATGGGCATAGCTGAGCGATAGGCGTTCTGGTCTGGTTGCCACTGTGCCACTGTTGCTCGCATGAGGGGTGTGTGACAATTCGCAGTGTGTTTGCGTGTGACTTGATTCCAGATTCTACATTCCACAAGGTACGGGGACAGAAGCTGCTTTCTCTATTTTCCTGTTCTTTCGCCACTTGACATCACCATTCAGGAGGATGGTCCTTTGCACGTCACCATGCTCAAGATTTCATCTCGATCATGCGCGGATGCCATAGCCCCTGGCGTCCGAGGCTTGGAGCCTTTTCTACTTCCATTGCATGGTAACTCGGTAAGAGTCTGGTAGTACTTCTGTGCTCGCCCCAGGCTCCCCAGGCCAGCAAGGCATACTTCTCTGGAAAAGGGCGGTGAAGGTACTGTGAAGATGTTACGATCGATGTGACAATAGCAATTGAAACCGCACTCATTCCCGATTTTTTTCTCTTCTTTTTTTCTTTTTGGTTGTTGCACCTTGACTCTCGTTTGTTTCACTCCAGCTCAAGCCATCCCCGTTTCTATTCTATCTTTCTTCAACCCAGACAACTTCTACGCCCGCCTAGTAGACTCAATCGCCAAGATGGGGATGGACTATTTAGTAGAGAGAGGGGATTGCGAACGGATGCCGGACGAAGATGTACCGGACCCTGATATAGCGGGCTGGGGGGTAAGATTTAACAATATGCTCTAACAGGAATCTTGACTCACCCTAAACTCGAGCAGATTGTGTCTTCCTTTTGTTTTTCGATTATCATGAATATGATCGCCATCATCGTAGCATATGCGACAAACGCGCTGCATCAGACTCGGTACAACCCAATCGACGATATACGTCGTCGCAAGGTGCCGTCGACCAGCGGTCAAAAGGATCAGGAGCAACGCATTCGTGCTTTCCAGGCTTTCATGCTATCAATGAGCGACCAGCAACTTATCACCGGTATGGCGCTCATGCTGGCAACAACGTTGATATTCGACGGAGTGCATGGCCTGGATGAGAGCCTCTCGACTTATTCGTTCCAGATTGCGACGCGACTTGGCTACTTCTCATGCATCACTCATCTCTGCTCGCTTTCAGTGCTATGGGAGTATTTTGATCAACACAAACGCATGACGATATTCCGGACCATTATGATGGTGGTTTTCCTAGCCATGACGATCAGATGCATGATCATTTCAGACTCTGTGACATTTCGTTTCAACCGACACATTTCGTTTCAACCGACACATTTCTGTCAAATGTGCCAGAAAGCACTTCAGGCTAGTTGATCAAGAAAGGCCGAACTACGTCTCATTTTCCGACGAAGTCATCATCATCTTCAACTTATCCATACTGATATGTATCCTCGTCTTTGGATACTTTCGAAGGATCATAGAACTTTACTTCCCGTCACGTCGCAATCGGCAAGACAAATTCTGGCAGTCCGCCCTGCTGAATATTCTGTTCCCGCCTGCCGCATACGAAGATTTCCTGAGACAGGCTTCAGAAAAAGTCACATCTCTCAGAAATGCCATCAAAGCGGAATCTGAGGCTTTTCAACTTGGGCATTATCTTACGATGATGTCAATCTGGGTTAATCATCTGGAAAGCAGTTTTCTCTGGGAAATTGTTTGGTTGTTTTTCTACTTCACTTTTGGGACAGCCAACCTCCTGAAATTCTTCAACGACGCAAGCCTACAGCTTGGTGATATCAAGCCCAATTTTGGCCAGCTTGTTCCTTTATTTCTCTTGGCTCTCCCCACGATCACAGCAGCCGAAGTTTATTCATGTAAGTTCCAATTTTCAATCAGGTTTTTCCAAAGATTCACCTACAAATACTCCCATGCCTGAATGTTCCGACCTTCATCCCAATTTAAAGCTGCCAAAGAGTGCTCAGGCAGTCAGGATAAAAACGAGACATATGCAAAGGATGGTTCTCCTGCTTACGAACATTCGTACGAACCGAGGCCTGCCTCTACTGTAAGCTGACGTTGCCACCAACTCTTTACGCAAGGTTCCAGTTGGTCAGCCTATGGGAGTGTATGACTGACCACCTGACAAACTAGCCATCAGACACGTCTGATATATTAGGACCTCACGAGATAGCAGCGGCGCTTGGCGTCAAGCCTTGGAAACTTCTTTTTTTCACGCTGATCCCATATGCGGCCGGACTTGTCCTTTGGGCTCTGATATTCGCGGACGCCATACCTCATGGTTTCTATCTATTCATTGTAGCATGGGCGATTGCTTTTTTGATAGAGTTCGTGAGATTATTCGCTTGGTTCAAAGCGGCATACTCTGCCATACGAGGATCGATTACAAGACTGTAAGGGAGATTGTGCAGCGCCTTCCACAATAGACGGCCCCTGCTGACCCATCGGCTGCGTAAGGACGAGGGTATTCTAGTATACTTAGCACGCAGTATCGCATTACATAAGTAGTAAGTCATCTGCAAGCCGTTTTCCAAGATCTAATACTATTCAAACGTTATAGTTCAATTCTCAGCTTCAGAAATGTTCAAATGTAGCCTACTGTGGTACTGAGCACGGGGGGGTTTTAATTTTATTACTCATACGGTACAGTTGCGGCAATCGTTCTCAATGACTATCGGTTCTCAGTTCCCACATCAGCAGTGCAGACGCAAATATGGTACGAAGCTTACATGCACTCAATGATTGCGAATTGAGCCACCTTAATATACAGATGCTGGAGAGAAAGGCCTTGAAGGTAGGCCTGATTTTTCACATGTTCGAAAGTTGGAGGGAATGACAATCTACCTAGAACTTAATGGCCTTTGATATCCCTCCATGTACCTACTCATATTTCCAACAAACAATAGTCGGTCGTTAGCATAGACTCTGTACATCACACGAGACACTTGTTGTCAATGATGCATTTCTTATTTGTCCAAGAATCATGCAAGACTCGTTATTTCTGCTAGCTCCCCGATTCATCATTGTGGACCAAAACACAAGCATTTGAGACATCAATTACCTTACATGTATGTTAGCTACAACGTATCATTTGACTGTCACCGCAAAGTTACGAGTTTTCTGGAAACATACAATTAAAACAATAGAAGGTGAATGGGAAACGGATGACATGGCTGGGGGTATTGTATAAGATGGCTGTCTAGGCTATGTCTCCGCTGATAAATGCTACTGAAATATGTAAAAAATGTCTATAATATTGTGATGTCGTGCTTTCTCTGTGACCTCAAGTCTTGTGCTGCGATCGCTCTATGCAATAAGGCTGTGAAAGTCAGAGTCGAACTTGACTGGGAACTTCTTTCTCCCCTTGGCGTCAGCATTCACGAAACAAGCCATCTTGTTCTTCGGGCAGTGGAAAGATCCCATGCCGTTCTCGTCAATCGTAACTGCGGCTGACTCCATTGCGAGGACATCGGTCCAGATCTCCCCAGCGTGGTCGACACCAACTGACATGGACAACCGAGTATCGGTATGGTCAGCCTGTGTCCAGCTCATGACAACGGCCATACCGGCAGGTCTCTCGTCAGTTCCGCGTCTGACCCATCCGATGCAGTCGGACCGCTCAAAGTAGTCTTGTTGCTCTCCGTAAGCGTAAAGCTTTCGGGCCAACAGAAGGTTGGGAAGGTCTTGGATAGGCGCTTCGGGATGGGTAAGTTCGATGCCGTACAGGTCCCCAAAGAAGACACATGGGTGACCATCGCGCCTTAGGAGAATCATGGAATATGCATAGGGCATGAACTCCTTGCAGATTGGAGTGTCCATTTGCTGACCCTTCTGGGTGTCGTGATTGCGAATGAATGTCTGTAAATTGTTATTAAGGACATCAAATTTGTGGATATCTAACAGACTTACGACAGCATTGTTTGGCCGTTGCTCCACCAATGTGTCTTTGAACACTTGTCTCAAGTCGGTGTCACGGTGCCATGACAATCTTTCGATGTGGTACATGAGAGGCACATCGTAGAGGCTGAAGAATGACGGCATGTGCTCCAACCAATTGTTTAAGACGCGCACGTCTCCGTGCCAGAACTCTCCAATAAACATGAGATCATTGCGATTCGCTGGCTTCCTCAAGTACTCGGCCCATTTGCTGATGAAGTTCCATGAGATGTGCTGTACGGCATCCACGCGGAAGCCTTTGAGCCCGAGCTCATCCACAATCCACTTGCCCCACTGATGCTGCTCTTTGACGACCTCGGGGTTGGTGTAGTCGAGGTTCTCGAGCATCAGGTAGTCGGCGTTCCCTTGGAGGTCGCCGACGTCTTGGTGCCAGTTCTTGCCTTCTTCTACGAACCTGTAGATGGCGCGTTTCTTGTTTTGCTGGTTCCAGTCTGTGCCGTTGAAATGCGACTTGTTGTATTTGAACTTGCTGTACTTCCCCCCTCTAGCTTTGTAGTCGAATTTAGTCCATGACTCAATTTCATAAACATCGGTGATATCTCTCCGTCTATCTAAAACATGTGTAAGTAGTCGAAAACTAACAATAGCGGAATATGATAGATAAAGCTTACCACGTGGATCGACCTCGACAACCTTTATCATCTCAGTGCCGTCAGCATAGGCGCGATGGTTGTGAATAGCGTCCCAGACCAGCCCAATGCCATGGTGCTCCGCGTCCGCGGCCAAAGACACAAGGTCTCCCTTGCTCCCCCATTTTGTGGGTACTGAGCCCTTTTGATCAAACTCTCCTAGATCCCAGGCGTCGTAAATGTCGTAGCCGTTACTCTCAGGGTCCTTGGCCTTGCTTCCGGGCGGTAGCCATAGGCTGTTCACCCCAACGGATCTCAGTGCCGGCAATGCGCGCCGAAGCCGTCGCCAGTGCTTGTGGTCGGCGGGCAGATTCCACTCGAAGGCCTGCAGTTGCACCGGGTTTTGAGATCTCTCCGGGCGAGGCAATTGGTGATGAGACTTGCTCTGCGGAAGGGTCTCTGCAGGTCTGACTTCTACGCGGGGTGAAAGCTGGTGAAATGACTTGCTTCTGGGCAACAATGCCTCCTTGGCTCGAAATTCAGCAGCCCAGGATTCTGTAGTTCTAATGCGGATCTCGATTGGCTGACCGGTGCTCGGCCGCGAAGCCGTAGTTGGGTTTCTCATTTTTGATGTACGATAAACGAAGCTAAGGGGAAAAGTCAAGGAATGGATGATGTGTCGTCATGTATACGGCTTGGTGGTCGGACATCCCTCTTTATCTATGCGCACACGGAATCCTAAAGAGGCGCGAAGTTAAGGTCGCGACTGCGTATCCGTACATGTCTCCCGGTGCCTTGTACTCCGTACGGTGGCTTGCGCTTCAAGGTTTAATGTCCCTAGTAGGAACAATTTCAATGTCCGAACCGTCTCAACCCAACACTCTAACCCGGGGTTGAGAGCTCGACCAATGATGTCCAGTCACGGTTCTAAAGGGTCAAGAAAGGCATGGACATTGTCAGCTCACGTGTCTCATACATCAGCCGTTCCAGAATTACCATGCGTGGTGATGTTTGGCGAGTCGTCTAGGGGCTGTACTCTTCGCGTTCGCATTCACGAGTCGCATCCGTTCTCGAATGCGAGATTTGATACGAGCGGGTCTACTTATCCCTTCCCCCAAAAACTTGGCCCCCTTCCAAGGAACCCAGCCACGGAACGAGTCGGGCCAACACAGTGAGCAATGCGGCCATTGACTACGTATGGAGTACGTAGACGGAGACCAGCACGGTCACCGCCATGGCGTTTTGGCGCATTGGCTTGCCAAGTCGCGGCAGCGCTTGACACCAGGAACACAGGGAACCGGGACGGATTGAACGGGGTGTCGGGACTGATGAGCGTCGCAGACGGGACCAAGATGATCATCAAATTACCGATAGCGAGATTGGCCTGAGCATAAACTAACAACGTAAAGACCCCTAAAACCCCCTAACGCGAAAGCGACCTTAATTTGCATCGTCGTAAGTTAAGCACAGCCGGGAGGCCTACGTGCACGTTAGAGGGTCAAGTCTACTGAGCAGAATAACCTCACCAATTTCAAATAATGCAAAAAGAAGGGATAATAACTAAAGAATGGCCGGCAGACATCCGGGCCGCGCTGATCGGTGTGGCGTGGGCTGTCGCTGCCAACTACGCATCTGCCAGTGTTTGGTGTTCCCACAACTTCGAAGACTCCACGTGTCGTTCGCGTAGAGTTCTGGGGTTATCCTTTTAGGTTGCAGCAATAAGTCGCAAACGTTGTTCGCATCTGGCTCAGAATGCATCATCAAGGTGGTAATCTGCTGATCAATTCTAGCATATCTACCTGGACGGGCTACCTTATGTACTGCAAATCATCAGATTCATCTCACAGAAATGTGTAAGACGTAGCTCTTTCAGGCAAACCTGATAATATTGCAAATATCTGTGACGCTATGCTGCATGTTTTAACTTCAGACCAAATCTAACGGTTGTGTGTTTGCCCGAGCCTATCTAGATCCGGATCATCTCTTCAACCCCTGCGGCCGACGGGATAATTCCTCAGTGCGCTCTCATCTCGTCAGGCTCCCGAATAATGCGAGAGCCTGCCCGGGTCTCCAGCACGGGAACCTCGATGTTCCAGCCTGCAGACGCCAGTCTCCTGGCGTACAGCTCGTACTTTTCGTTTGCAATTTGCAAACTCTCCTCCACGTGGCCCAACATTGCTTGTTGATCGAATTCAGCTCGCAACAAGTTCGTCTCTTCCTGTCCGCTCAGTCTTCTGGCCAGCAACAGACCATGGAACCAGGCTTTCAGCTGTGACCTCGGCGTCACGCCCTCTTTCAGGACAACCACAACTTTGATTCTGGAGGCTGCATCGTTGGAGGTGACTGATACTTGACACCAGAGAATGTACTGCTCGCCGTCGAAAACGTCCATCAGTGTGTACAGGTCAACACTTGAAAGTTGGAAAGACATCTCGTGGCTCTTCCCAGAGGCCAAAGCCTCAAGCAGGGTCTTTAGGGGTACTCCGTACTTGCAGCGGCCAAACACTGGTCCTGAGTTCCAGCGGAACACCTCACCCCCACGTCTCTCGAAGATAAGTTCTCTTTGGGAAACCTTCAGAGGTGTGAGGACTTCGTCTTTCGAGAACAATGCTGATAAAGCAATGTTGGCGCGTTGGCGATTCAGCTGACGTGAGTGTACTGCTCGAATGCCCCTCCAGTTGAGAAGTAGGTGGACGCCCAGTAGGATAAAGAGCACAATCCACGACAGTGTCTCGTCGGTCAGGAAATACAACAGACACGTTCCCGTCTAAGTATACATCTGTTAGTAACGTGGGCTCGAATATATGGGCATCTTGGCTGTCGACTTACAAGCATTCCTATCAGAGAAATGGCTGTCTCTTGGCTGGCATCTTTCTATGTACTGTTAGCAACCACAATCTTGCATACGTCTTTATTATGCTAAGTCTCAACACTTACAGCATTAAGCTCCCCCAAATTGTTCCACTTGGCAAAGTGGCCACTGAGACTGCTTTTTGATGCGTTCCCAACGACGCCGGATGCGGAGTACAAGATGCTGGAGAGACAGAGAACCAGAAATCTGGCTTCCTGAGGGAAATAGGGAGATGCACAGTCCAGAACCATTGCTGTGTCAGTCAACAGGTCGCAGGCCATGCGATATGCCTTGCATTCTGCTTCGATAGAGGTTGCAAATAGATGAGCAAATGTGATTGTTGCGAGTCTTCCCATGGACTCTCGAGTGACTTGGATGAGCATAGCCCCGGTTGGCGATGCTAATGAGTCGCCAACGCCAAGACCTAATCGAATTATCAGCATACGGTACCTACGAGACGACACACTAGCAACCACACAACGACGTTTGATGTAGGGTATATTTAGCCGGGGTAGCGCAGAGAAGTTCTTACCTTGCCAAACAGCACGCGATGAAATCATGCCGGCAATCGTGCCAGCAAAAGCTTGAAGAGAGTCCTGCTTGAGTATGAGCTAGACCGGACGCACCCTTATCTGCATCAGTGTTTACTCACATAAATCTGATATTCAGCATAGTCGTCCGTTACGCTATGCGGGTAGCCATCTGGCAAGAATATTTCGAGAAGCTCTTGCCAAGGCTTCTTTCTCTTGGGCGGGAGCTACGCGAATGAGTGTCAGATCACATGCAAACTCTCTTCTTGTCTTCCTCCAGGGCATCAATGGAAGGAGTAGGACCAGGGGTCCTCCATGTTATTCGCGGAGCTTACCGTGAGATCAACCCTAGATGATCCGGCAATCTGAGCCGACTCGATATACTTGGTCTTGAGGGCTCCGGCTTTGTCATATTCGGCAAGAACTAGGAAGCCTGATCTCTTCCTCAGCATCGTCGGCGTCTCTAGGACGGTTTGCGTCGAGCGCGTTGACATGGTCTAGCGCGCTCTTGGGAAATTGTTGATGAAAGGACGTTTCGATTCGAACTTTCGAGATTTAGAAAGAACAGATCAGCTGGGTCCTTTTCTTTCAAGTTTCGAGTGAGAGAAGATTAGATTGAAAAACAGAGAGATCAAAGAGGCTGGCGTGACGTGCAGGAAGAAAGTAAGCACGCAAGAAAATAGGCAGAGACCTTTTCCGGCGAGAAGAAGGAACGGATACGGGGATGCGAACAAGACTGCAGGACATTTCGCGCGCGCGTGAGGACCATTTTGGTTCGTTGCCATCAGCGGCGAACAACAAACAGTAAGTACATGTAAACGCGGCCATAAATGACTCTCTGCGAAACTTTCCGGGCTATGCACCCGCCGCGTCCTTGTCTAGCCCCCTGCGGTCAAACATGTTCGATGATCTGTCATTGTTCCCCTTCTGCCCTATGTTGACAAGTCGATGTCAGGACTGGGTGTCATGGAAGCGGAGCGCAGGTGTGCGTCCGTGTGGGATCTGCATGGGCCGCTGGGGTGAAAAGCAATAAACTCTCAACCGCAGAGTGCCTCAGAACATTGAACATTTTTATCTCGCCCCTCCGCAGATCGTTTCAAAAGATGGGATTTTTCGTCAGATTGCGGGCTTGCTCGAGAAAGTGGATATAACGTCAGCATACAACTCAGATCAGCTCGGGCCTAGTACGAATGACACGAAATGTCAGCGACGAACCACCCACGGCCAACCCGTCGCGAAACATGGGATGAAGTGGTTCTAGAGACGTTCCGGCTGAGGCTCATTCCGGTGGGAAGGGCGACGTAAGCCTATGGATGCAGATTGCGATTCAGCTGCCTTCTTCCGCGTATTTGTCCTGTTCCGCCTTGAAGGGCTGAACTTGAGGTTGAACAAGTTCCAGATCTATCTCTGGCTTCGGTCTCGCCACCGAGATGATGCGGAGGACATCATAAGGGAGCGAAGATCTCTCTGAGACTTCGCAGCACTCCGTGGTTGGGATAGTTAGTTGTGTGAACTGGATCGTCAAGCTGCCAAAAGTCAGAGAACTGATTGCAGCCTTGTAGGTTTGATAGCCGGGTGACAGAACTCAGTTCTCGCAGGAAGGTGCGTTCTCCCCCGCTGTCGTGCATCATGAGGCGCAGTGACCGTTGTGTTAAGGCTCGTCAATTGGACGATTTGACCTGTGTGTTGAAAACTTTAGTATTCGTATTCTTAACGATGCCAACATGCCTATTTAGGAAACGATTCCCGTGGGGATAATAAAGGTGGAAAGTCATCCACTTCATTGTGAGTATTGACTCAGACACTCTTTTCTCTGGTTGTCCACTTCGAAAAACTTGTTTGTCCGGTCAGCTACCCTCAAGCCCTCTTGAAGTGGCTACATGTATGGAGTTCAGCATCTGGAATCAGTCAGCAACATGACTCTCGCGACATCCAGCCCAGGGGAATATACGAATACTATACTTGCCGAAATTGGAAATATTGCAGGGGGCTTCAGTGCCGAAAAGCTTGTATCCGGATGGGTAGGTTGACGTCGTGAGCGTGCATGCCACCTTGTTCCTTGTACAATGCTACACCTCCAGGCCTGCGAGCCGCCAAGATCTTCATCCCACCGGACCGGAAGAAGGAGGCTAGGGAAGTCCCTGCGGAAGGCGGCACGGAACGCTACTCAACTTGAACAGTATTCGCTTCAACATCCTGCCATGATACCTCAGCTGAATACGTGTTCCAGCCGTCTCCCCCGGGCGTGTTGATAAGGACTCAACTTATTCGTGCATAGTACGCTACTAAGTAGCCAGGGAGTTGACGGTTCGCGGAAACCTTGTTTCACTCAAATTATTCGAGTCTGCAGTTGAAAGGGTCTGTGACTGACCTGACTGACACGCTTTGGATGATGTGATTTCCGAAGAGCGGCATTTCATCTGCGTACATGTAAGAAAAGGCGTCCTGGAAAAAGGTAAGCAACCATCGTGGCTTTGAAGCACAGAACCATCGAAGGAAGACTACAGATAATACAGCCAACTCCAGTGGCACTTTTTATGGCAAAAGCACATTACAATACCTTACATGAACGTCTCCGACTCCGGCCGGGCCCCCACTTGTAGGAGACGGGAATTGTGGGTCTCCCGGTGTATTTCGCTCCGTGTTGCTGTAGTGACTTTCAGCTACTGACCTTCTGGCCCTTCGGCATCCCTGTCTTCGCAACAAGAATATGCTGATTGTACTTATTCTAGAGGGCGAGCTTCGTCTACTTTAGCTGAGGAAATACAAAACCTCCTGAGGCCAACCCACATGAGCAGCGGAGTCCAGAAGCACTACCGGCATCTCGTGAAACTCGTCTACGGGGATCGCGACGCTCTCTCAAGTGAGAATTATGCTTATCCAGAACGTGTAACTCAACTGTATGTCACAATAGGAGGGAATAAAGAAAGCACAATGATGAGACATCAAGGATGATTATGGATTCGATTCGGTATTTGACGATCTCATCACCCCAAAGATACAAAGGAAGGCTGAGACTAAGAACTAATTTATACGAGAACAATGAAACGACTTTGGTATGATCGAAGACACAGAAGAAGCCCGCCCAAGAAATAACAAAACAGTAACGTCGAAAAAGATGACATGAACAACGCTCATGAATCCCAAATCGGTCCAAACGCAGGAATCCCCCTCGCTTCCATCCGATACACAAACTTATTCACAGTAGGCCCGTTGGAAATAATCGCAACACACTCGGCCCCGCTCTCCTTATACACATTATACGCCAACTGCACCAAATCAGGCCTACCGCGCTCATCCGTATCCCAAATCAACGCGTCTGGGTCCGCCTTGAGAATCAAATCCATGACGCCCTGGCCGTACGTCTTGAGCGGGTTCTTCGTCGACCAAACGACGCGTGCGGGGACCCGACGCTCCATGAGAACAGGCAGACAGGGTCCAATACCGGAGCCCGTTGCCACGAGGACCATCTTCTTGAAGAGGGGCGCGACGGCAAGGACGCCGGAGGCGGGTGTGCCGCGTGTCCAGATCGAGGTGGGCGGGTTCTCGATGATGCGCTTGGTCCAGTCGCCGGCCTTGGAGACCACGATGGAGAAGCCCTTGCCGCTCGGCTCAGGGATGGCGGCGAAAGCGTGCCATTCGACCATGGGTCTATCCGTGATGCGGACGCCGCGCGAGGTGCATGGTCCCGGGGTACAGAAGTCAAAGTGCAGGCGGACGGCGTGCTTGGAGAGCGGCTCGGGGACGACTTTGACACGGCGAAGTCGCATCCAAGGGAGCGCGATGCTGAGTGAGGTGAGGGCCACGAGATAGAGCGCGGGGGTCTTGGCCAGAGCCGGGCCGAGGGGTTCGACGGACATAGAGGCTGCGGTCGCGATGACATGGGCCCATACGAGGGCGAGGGCGGACCAGCCTGCGAAGCGATGCGTCCACTCGAACTGGTCGTGCATCTTGGCGCGGATGGTGGGGTAGGCCATGACTAGAATCATGAGGAGAAGGAGCAGGATGAGGTAGGTTAGGACCAAAGTGAGGAGGTTGACGGAGTAGAGGGACTGCGGCGCGATGAAGTTGCCGGTTGCGGCGCCCGTGAAGATGACCCACCACACGGTGGCAGAGACGGCGCAGCCCGAGTGGACGCCGCCATTGTGGTAGACACGCGCAAAGTGTCTGCGGATGGCGAGCGGCATGGAGGTGGGCACGCGGGAGCAGAGCCAGAAGATGAAGTTGACGACGTAGTCCTGGCGCAGGAGGACAGCGCCGAGGAGGTTGGCGGCGACGGCGGTGGCCAGGTGGTTCAGGGGCAGGGAGAAGTTGCTGTTGCGGCTCTCGTACAGCATCCACACAAAGACGGCGAGGTTGGAGACGAAGATGACGCCAAAGAGCTTGCGGTAGGCGTTGAGTCCGCGGTGGCGGATCCATCTCCAGCCGTGGAAGCCCTTCTTGGAAGGGAGCTCGTACTCCTGTTCCTCCTTCTCGGCCTCCTCCTCGACGAATGCGGCTGTCTTCTCCAGGTCGATGTTTCTCTGAGAGTCGACGACGGTGAAGGTGCGAGAGTCCACGAGGGTGAAACCGCCTTCGCTGGTAGGGCTTACGGCCGTCTTGATGGACGAGGCGCTCGACGATTCCTGGGGCGTTGACATGCCCGTCGGAATATCGGCCAGAGGCAGCGGCGGCGGAACCTGGGCCGCGCCGGAGGCGATGTCGCGGAGGGCCCGCTTGTCGACCTTGCCGTTGGGGGTTAGCTCGATGATGGGGAGGTACTTCCAGACGGTCGGGACGGCGTAGAACGGTTGGCCCTCGCCGACGACAGTCTTCAGCTGAGCTTCGTCGATCGGCGCAGGGGCAGAGTAGAAGCCCCACAGACGATCGTCGATTTTCAGCGCACATCCCTTGACAACGCCAGGGCATTTTTCAATAGCGCGAGAGACGCCATCGAGCTCGACGCGGAAACCAGAAATTTTGACCTGGTCGTCTTTTCGGCCGAGGGGCTCCAAGCTACCGTCTTCGAGCCAGCGGGCGAGGTCGCCAGTGTTGAACATCATACGACTATGTTTGGGTTGACCTGTTAGCGTACTCTTCTCTCAAGTCTCGGCCGCAAGAACGGGGATAAAAAAGAGGCGCAAAACTTACCCATCCTTTGCGAACTTGTCGACCTTATATCTTTGTGCCGTCAACTCCGGCAAGTTGAGATACCCCCTAGAAACGCCTGGGCCGCCGGCCCACATGACGCCAGGTTCGCCAATCTTGACAGGGTTCTCATCTTCGTCGAGAACGTAGACGTTGGTGTTGGGGTTAGGCTTGCCAATCGACAAAGTCTTGCCCGGCTTATGAAGATGCGCGGTGTTGAGAATGCTGATTTCGGTAGGACCGCATACGTTCCAGAACTTGACGAAGGGCGCCCACTGCTCGGCGAGGGCCAATGGGCAGGGCTCGCCGCCGACTGCAATGGTCCTGATGTTGGGGAAGTCCTCACGCCTGGGCATATGCTTGAGGACCACGGATGGTGTCGCGATGACAGTGTCGACACGCTGCAGGCAATCCGTCCAGAGATCATTGCCGCTGCCTCTGATGTGAAGTGTTCCTCCGTTCATCATCGTGCCGAGAATCTCCCACGCGCCTACGTATCACATTGCCGCGTCAGCGTGGTCGGACACTAGAAAAATAGAGTTTGAGACATTTGACTTACACATATCGAACCCGACGTTCAACTGTTGCGCTACGTTCTTTCCGACGCGGATGCCCAGCTTGGAAGGCTCCGCTAGAAGGGTGTTGGTAACGCCCTCGTGTCTCACATCCACTCCCTTGGGTCGCCCGGTAGTGCCCGAGGTGTAGATCACGTAGGCTCCATCCCCTGGCTTGACAATGACACCGGGGTGTCCATTGTTGCCGTGCTTCCACAGCCAACTGTTCCCGTCGAGGTCAACCACCCTGACAAGGTCCTGCCTTTCAGAGGGGATGCTGCGCAGCACCTTCTCCCTGAACTTGGGAAGGCACAGCACAACCGGCGCGTTGGAGTCGACAATGTCGTAGCCGAGTGTGTCTTCGGGGATGATGCCACCATCGAGAGGGACATACTGACCACCAGCCTTGAGAACAGCAAAGATGAAGACGACCATTTCGATGCAGCGAGAGTAGACGAGGACTACACGGTCTCCTTTCCTGAGGCCGTATGTTCCTCTGAGCTCGTTGGCGAGCACGTTGGCCCTGCGGTTGAGCTCCCGGTATGTGATGGTCGTGCCATCGTAGTTTCGGACAGCCGTGGCGTCAGGATGTGCTGCCGCGATGGACTCGAAGGCGTGGTGGACGACGTGGTAGGGTATCACATCGCTCGGTCCTCTGCTGAATTGGTTGAAGAGAACTCTGTCCGCCAGGGACAAGTTTTCCAGCGAGTGGAACGAACGCGAGGGAACCATGATGAGGAGCTTCTGGATGTTGATACCCTGCAGTGATGTTGCCTACCAGTAACACGCCTCGTACTTGAGAGGTGGGCTCCTTGAACCAGATATATCTCCTCACTTGGACCATCGCGTCTGTGTGTTCGTGCGCCAGTGTCCCTGAGAAACAGAGAAGCGCCAGAGACCCTGCTCGGCCTTGTGGGGGAGTGCATTCTTCGTTTTGGTAACTTCGCCAAAAACCTGCCTAGATTGCCTCAAGCTCCGTGTTCAAACAAGGTTCCATGTTCCCAGAGCCCCACGTCCGCCATGGCATGGTCCATGGATGATATCAGGGCTGGACTCTTTGCTTCTTTCAGCTCCTTCCTATGCAGACATTTGTTTTAGATAGTGTGGAGAACGGGTGAGTCTGTGATGAACTAGTGTAGGCAAAGACGGGGTCACTTACAAGGAACCTTGCAAGATTATGGATGTGATCGGGGTCCCTCGATGAACGAAAGCAGTTTCTGTACGGAGTGTACGGAGAAGCGGATCCTCGACCATGGATGCAAGCGCGAAAGAGTAGAGGGAGGCTATATTCCGTTGTGACAGGCAAGGTCGCCAAGGGAGCATCTGGAGCAGTCGAGAATCCGCCTCCTCCCCTTTAGATGTGGGCAGAAATTTTGTCGTAACGACCGTCTCCATTCCGCGGTAACAGGACCGCTGGCCGTCCGACGGGGCCATGCCGGACGAGACGTCCAAATCCGGGAAAAACGGAGGTCCATCCGGACCAGATCCGCCCAATGCGGCAGCTGTCGCCTTCTGTTTTGTCGATGGAGCACCTTGCCAGGCGTTGCCGTGGGATGTAACAAGGGGCACGGCAGTGGAGGACGGAGGTCTTGAAGATGGATATGTCCAGGGGGGCTGACAAAGTTGTTGTCAATCAGTCGACATGTGCCATCCATTACGTGCCGCGATCGTGGAGGAGGAGAAGGAGAGGGAACCTAGGCGCCTGTGCGGGTTGTGCCTTGCTTCTGCCATGGATGGTGCCCTGTCTGCACATCGTCCCGGGGGTAACCCTGGCTTCCGCGGCTCATGATGCTTGTCGACCGTTTGGCCGCCCACCCCTCTCCCTTGAACGACCCTCATGCCAGTTTTGTTCTTTTCTGCGACTGCGAGTCCACCCCCAGCCGAGATGTGACGCTACTCTAGGTTGACACTCTCCTCGGCCGAATTCGGTCATAACAGGGTGGCACTCTCTAATAAAGTGCGGCGATGTTGTTGCTGGCGAAGAAGAAAAAGGGTTCCGGGAGAAAGAAAGCAAGACCCGGGAGAAGAAAAGATCCGACGACTTCTTTTGTCTCTCTGCCATGTGTTGAGCACGCTGCTTCAACAAGCCATCAACACCAACACTGCCCCTCTCTCGCCTGAGTCGCCTCGTCTTACCTCCAAGTTTCCACGTTTTTTAATCAGTTGTTGCACTCCGGTGATCCGCTAGCCCCAAACTCTTTTTTTCTTCTTGTGGTCCTATTCCTGCGGTAACCTCAACCGACTCCCGAGAAATCATGGAGAACCTCACCACTCTCAAGTTGACGGTCGACTCCGAGAAGGGCGTCGCCCTCGTCCGATTTGACCGTCCAGCCAAGAGAAATGCCTTCTCTCAGGTCATGATCGGCGAACTTGTTTCGACTCTGGCTCATCTCGATGCCCTGGACACCGTCCGCGCCGTTGTCGTCACCGGTGGCCCAGAAGGTCCTTTCTGTGGTACGTTTTGCAAGTCTCCTCATACCGGTCGAGACAGATTTCAGAGTTTGGCTCCAGAAAACCATGTCTGGAGGGGGCGCAACAAGCTTACCCCCGTCGTCGGATCTCTGTCCTCTTCTCGTCTTCCTCGGCTTCACTTGCTTTTTCTTTCAACCCTTCCACGTGCATCTGCACACTCTCGTCGTTGGCGCCGCGCACGGCAGTCGATGATTTCCCACCCAAGCAACTGCCATCTCAACTCCATCTGATTCCCCACGGACTTGATACACAGGGGGATGTCCGCTGTCGTTCTTGTTTCCAAGTCCCTGAAACGTCATGAAAATCCGCGCCAGGGTCCCACTGGCGGACCCCCCTCTCATCTAATCTAATGGAGGCACGACGTTGGCTAATCCGTTTTATGGTGCAGCCGGGATGGATCTCAACGAGTTGGTGCAGATCTCCACGGCAGCGGCCCACCAGCGCGCCTTTCTCAAGGACCTCACAGACGCATTTGCCAACTTCTCCAAACCCATCATCGCGGCTGTAGTTGGTTTCGCAGTAAGTTGTGCTGTCGGAAGTGGGAGCCGCCTCCGACTGCCTGTGCTTAGTTTCTTTTTCTCTGTTGCCTCGCATGTCTCACAGAAACAAGGCTAATGTGAGAGCCTCAAGTTGGGCGGTGGTTGCGAGATCGCTCTAGCAGTAAGTCAAGAGTTGCCCCCACATGTTTCTGCGAGGAAGAACCTAAACGGCTCACACTTCACATCCAGTGCGACATGATCTACGCCGCCGAAGATGCTTCGTTCGGACTCCCAGAAATCAAGATCGGAACGATCCCAGGCGCGGGCGGCACTCAGCGTCTAGCTCGTGCTTTGGGCAAGCACAAGGTGAGTAGTCAAAACCAGTCGGTTGACTCGTGCTGGCCGACTTCAACAGCCGAAATCTTCGCTCTCACCTTGAAACGGACGAACTGACCAGCTGTAGGCCATGGAGTTCGTCCTTACCGGCGACTCAGCCAGCGGAGCCGAGTTTGAGCGTCTCGGCGTTGTCAACAAGGTGTTCCCTCGTCAAGAGGTCGTGCCAGCTGCCATGAAGCTCGCTGAGCGCATCGCCATCATGTCGGGCCCCGTAACCAAAACCGCGAAGCAAGCCGTTCTCACAGGTGGGTGGCTCCGACTCCAAGACCGCTAATACAGGGTGGCTCCGGATCCTCCTACCTAAGGATCGAGGGGGCGGGCCCCTGTGCGGACCCCGTGTTCTGACTCGCTGACCCTGCTACAGTCGAGAATAGCCATCTCGATGCCGGGATGACCATGGAGAAATCTCTTTACTACTCGACATTCAGCCTTGGCGATTTCAATGAAGGAATGACCGCATTCCTGCAAAAGCGACGTCCCGACTTCAAGCACACGTAGGTTTCGGGTGGCCCGTACGTGACTTTCGGGAGAGAACCGCAGCAAATGTCACGCGCCAGGTACCGCGCTGCAAGGTCATCGTACACACTATAATCGGTAGACTCCGTCTGCTCGGATGACTCGATCCAACTACTATACTCGAGTCCGTGGTTTCCACGCGCCTCGGGCTTATCGTTGTTGACTCGTTGATTACTGATGGTCGGAGACCATGTTCGTAGCGATGCTGGGCAGCAAACTCTAGATACGGAAGCTGATGAATCGAACCTTCTTTGAAATGCCACGTCGCCTTCGACTTCGGAAGGAAAAAGAGAGCGATTGCACTCTAGAAGTCCATCATGCGAGCTTGGCATCGATATCGTGATAGTGCACCTCCTCGATTTGGATGGTGTGTTAATGCCACTGCACCCCCATCATCTTGTCAAGGGAGGACGGTTATGTGAGCGTGGAGGAACTTTTGCGCCGAATGTTGCTGTGATCTGCGCGGCTTGCATTGTGCAGCGCGTTAGACGGTTACACTGCCATCCGTAGTCCAACCCACCACCCGAATCTTCAATACTCAAGCGCACATGCAAATGGTCGTTTTCGTAAGGTAGCCATGGATTACGACTTGCCATTTTCGCCTAGGTTCTGTTTCTCCCTGCATTTGTTATTGCCTCTAGAAATACATTGAAAAAAAAAAAAAAAAAATCTTGCAGTTTCGTGCCCATACTGTGCCTGGTCTTGCTTTGCTCTCATGCTTGGCTGCCTCAACCGTTGTGCTCCCCTGAGGTGGTTGCGACTGCGCCATTTTACCCGCGCGCAGCACTCGGTGCAACGTTAAAGCGTTGTGCCTGTTGTCCCGACATCAAAGATGGAATTGCGCCACCCGTCTTGCTGATACTCGTGCACTCTGTCGCCTGCCAGCGCAGCCTCTTCGTTCCACATTTTTACGAGACTGCCAGGGGCGTACACACCCTTGAAAACTCCGCGTCCAGGCTGCGCGACACCCACCCGGGTGTAAAGGTCGGGGTCCTCGGGAGGCACCAGTCTGGCCGCCACGGCCTTGAGGAATGTCCACATATCCTGCGGGTCGGCAATACGAGTGGCCCTCAATCGTTCGCGTGCGAAAAGAAGTTCTCTGTTGGCGAAATGAAGCAGCTCGCCAATGCTGGCCGCAATCTGAGCTTCCAATGCGGCCTTAACCGTTGGCCGAATCAGAGGCTTGAGTAGCCAAGCGAGCCAGGAGAACTTACTCTTTCGGAGGCTGTAATTGAGATGATGGATGCGGACGCGGACATTGTGCAGCGTCAATATGTCTTCAAGCCGGTCCTTTCCAACCTCCACATCGATGGCAACATCGATTCCACGCTCATCCAGGTAAAAGCCCGCAATGCCAGCATCGGCCAACCTCAATATTCCCGAGTGGAGGCGCAGCCAATATCCGAGGTCTTCGGCGGCAATCGACAATCCTGATACTGTAATTCTCATGAGAGTTTTCACCGAAGACGTGGTACGAAAGCGGGCCTTGCGGATCTCGACATCATTCTGTGTGGAAATATTGATCTTGAACGGCAGGAAGGAGCTGTTGTTGACGGTGCGCCCCGGTTCCAAAATAAGGTTCTCCAAAAGAAGATCGATAGCCGGCACCGATACTTCCACCCGCGGAATCGGGATGTACTGAATTGCCTGCACTACCATGGGTATGAAGACGTTGATGGAGTCCGCCACCAATTCGCCATTGGTGTATTGATGTGCAGGTGACAAAATCCGCAAAATTCGCCTCGTGGTATTCATGGCCTTCTTGATATCCGTGTCTTGGAGCACAGAGTTGAGAGCAAGGTAGACCTTCTCCAACAAAGCATCAAGATCATCACGTATTGAGGACTCGGATGTCAACTGTCTTGACTTGACTCTCAATTCTTTGAAGCGGTCCTCGGCGTGATCGAAAAAGTCAGGGTCCGTCAGTATGTCCTGGAGCAGATTGCCGATCTGTCTAACAAGATTGTCGAACTCTGGGTCGCTGCGGCCATGCTCCATGACCGCCTTGAAATGAGCTTCAACATCATTCCAGTGCTCGCGGCTACCTAAGGACGTCAAGAACAGCCAAAAGTTGTGGAGTGCACGATCAGCCTCTGGATTGGTGTCGATATCTTCCTGGGCAACCTGGATGGTATCGGAAACTGCGTGCGAGTACGCCAGCAAATATCGCCTGATGAGTAATGAGAGAGTCGATACCGAGTCAGAGTAGTCTTTTCTCTCACGCAAGTTGACAATCGTACTCTTGAGCCTGTGCACTAGCGTTTCTTGTTCGTCGCCAGTGACGTGCTCCGTCAGGCTCTGGCCCGCTTCGTCAGCGACGCGGGCGACGCCATCAGTGACAACCTTTGCGATGTCAACAACCTCATCCTCAAAATCATCTTTAGTCGGGGGAGGCTTCGAATCCCCGTTTGGGTGCTTGACGGCTTCCTCCTCCTCTTTTGAGGGTTCAATATCCTTGGCCGCCTGCTTCGAGACGTCCGACAGGGTGAACGCAGTGTCGCGGAAGACCTCTCGACCAATGGTGCTCAGATCCGAAAGTAGTAGGCGGAAATCCGAGTTGGTTAATATCAAGGAGCCAACCGTTTGCAAGCTTTTGTAAGCTTGGCAATTGTCAGTTTAAAGTCTGAACAAACTTTCTTTCCTAGGTTGGAGCGAACGTGGGTTATTTGAAAAGAGACGACCCACCTGCCACAGTGTCGGCTCTTGCCTTCGCCTTGGATGCTCGTGCACCAATGTCGTACGCATCCACCGACAGGCGAGCCTTGGTAAGATACCAGATAAAATCCTGGATTTGGTCCTTGTCATTCTTGTGCAGTAGTAGCTCTATGAGTTGCTTGATCAAAAGCTTGACGTTGAGAACCAGGGCTCGTCCGGAGTCGCTAAGGTCGGGGGTATCAGGGTTGAGGACGTCGGCAGACAGGAGACTGCGCAAGTTGATGATGAGCTGTTCATTGGACGGCATATAACCCTTCCCGATGGCGCGGAGCATCTGATATGTGTGTAGCTTCTCGTGCAGGCGCTGCTGTAAGGCTGTGTCGTCGTTGTAGCGCGGTAGTAGAGGTTCGCGCTCGCGTTCCTCACGCGATGAGCGGCCGAAGCCGAAGAAGGACATCATCTCGTGCTACGGGTGCAGCTGAAGCCTTTTACTTTCGTCGATGCACTTTGAAAGATGCTGATGACCAGATTTGTTTCCAACCTGGGCAAAGGTGTCGTCGCTGTGTTTGGGCTGGATTGATGCTATGTCGTTGAAAATCGTCACCGTCAAGTTAAGTCGGTAGACAAAGCTACGCAGGAAGGAATGAACCAGCACAGCAGCAGTGACTGGGCAATGACGTAAGTACAGAGCTAAGGCACTTAGCGTGGTGTACTCGTAGCTGTTGGCTACCAATGAGACGCCCCAAAATCACGAGGCGGAGCATCGTGTCCGAGTCCGGTACGTATAGCCCCGGTCCAGCTAGGAGCTTGGGCCCCAGATCCGACCTGCCAGACCCTGAATGGGAAACATCGAAATTCCAAATCATCGAGATTCCCATCATCCGGTCAGTTGGTAGCTAGACATCTCGTCTCCCCTTTCTCTCCGCGATCCCTGCGTGTATCCTCATCTTTTGTCAAGAAAAAGGATAAGATCAAACATCGGGTCGACTCTGCTCTAGCAAAAAACACAGGTCGCAGGTTCAAGTGCTGGCCCGCTGTACTAAGGTCCTACCTGTTACGGGTTAGACCCGATTAGTGGATCCGGGCCTCAGGCCGGATACTGCCAGACCTCACCGCGCTGCCTTCGCGGAGGTCCCACTTGAGCGCTTTTCCTCCGCGGAACCCCCGCTCTAGAAAACCTCTACTCCTTAGCTTAGATTCTCTATATTGAAATCACCCCTACGTGGACTCACGAGGGCTGGACTCTTAACACTACCCCACGGATTCGTCATCCTCTTTATGCAGCGATATAAATGTCACATTCCGCCTAGTCATGTTAGGCCAAAGCGAAAGGTCATTGTTCGCGTGTAGGTACCCGTTGATCCAACAAAGTGGATGTCTGGGGTCACTTCTTGTCAATCTAGTGCCCAGCAAGCAAACATCCCCGCATCCAACTAGCTGCGTCAGGGGCTGCAGGCAAACTTGTAAGTGTCACTGGACTGCAGATATTGTCGGCCGAAAGCCCTCAGCCCTATCCCATTCTATGTCAGGTATGGTCTTTATGCCTCCATTGACATGGATGGTGTAGCCTGGGTAGCACGGCTCCTGCGATGCGACCACACAACTATCCCACACTTTTTGGTCTCGGATGAGCCCGTTCGAACCAGCACCCTGGGCTGTCACGAAAATGATGACGCACACCACTGAACGTCAGATCCATGGATCCGCGGTTATGGCGCTTAACTTTCGGCGTGCTCAATAGATGTTCCAGTCTGGCAAAGGCATGTGAGTGATGTATTGTTTATTGGTTGGAAGCCGCCCGACCTTACATCGACTTCACCATCTTGTAGCTAGCCTGCGCATCGAGCAACCTGGAACATACTAGACCCCTGAATCTGCTAGCGCTCGTGTCAAATGAGCTCACATGAAGTCGGGATAGCCATCTAGTTCCTTGATCTATAATTCAGGGTTTCCAATTTATCAGCCTTGGGCTTCGAGACTAGAGTCCTCTTCAAGGGCATCATGTGTGTTCACAACAGTCTGTACCTTTAACGACTCATGCCGACGACGCGGTTCTCACGCACTTCTCATACAAGTTTAGTCCTATCGATTTGTCTCTCGAACTTTTTTTTTTTTTTTTTTTTTTTTGGAAAGCTCATGGTTTAGCTGCCTTCGCAGAGAACTCATATTGGGCAATTTTGGTTTAGTTATCATTAATGATTACTAGGGCAAGCCATTGAATCAAAATGACACTGGCATCTTGGTTGGACAATGTGTCAACTGAGTGCTTCAGCTTTCTCATTACGGCATAATAAACCAATCCAAACCATGAACATGTTTTTTTCATCTCACCGCAGTCGCTGAATCTGAAAGCTACGGCTAGCAGTTCTTCCCATTTTTGCCGATCCCACCAGGCAGCTCAAGGCAGGCGGCCACCTCGGTTAGCCCACTTACTAAGGCAAGGTACACGCACGCAAAAACCCAACGCCGATTTACATACGGCTGCCTGGTCGCCTCATCTGATAATATGAGTCAGATTGGACTTCAACAGTTCTGTGTTTGATCGCATCTCATCTTAGCATCTCTTGGTTGTTGTGTTCATCCGCACATTATCTCACCATCAATCTCTACACTTCTAACCCGACGTCAATCTGTCTAGTTTACCTCATCTTACCACTTTCCTGGGGCAGGCAGAGTCCTCAGAGTCCTTTAGTCGCCAATAAGCGATGGCTTCTCAAAGCGAAGATGATGCCGTGATTATCGACCGAGATGATATCAGCAACTACAATCCCGAACAGATCCTGCCCGAATCCTCCGAGGTCATTCAGAAAATCAGAGCCTGGCTGAAACCTACTTCGTATAGCTTCGAAAGCAGTGAGTACCACAAGCACCTATGTTCTCACGCCCCAGGTACCGGCGACTGGTTGACGGCTAGTCAATCTTACAAGCACTGGCTGCAGAGCGAATCCATCGGTCTGCTATGGATCAAAGGAATTCCGGGGTCTGGAAAATCGGTATTGGCTTCAAAAATCATCAAGGAACTTTCGGGCAACAATCAAGGGAGCCCGGTGCTTTACTTCTTCTTTCGACAAATAATTGACGCGAACCACGAACCGGCCGCACTTCTCAGAGACTGGCTTGACCAAATCTTGACGTACAGCCCGCCACTCCAAAAGCGGTTGAAAGGGTACGTCGTGAAAGAGGGATACAGCGACAAAACTCGATTGCTTGCTACCATGTCGATGCAAGACCTGTGGGACGAACTTCGACTGGCAATTTCGGGACTGCCCGGTATAGTCTACTGTGTCGCCGATGCTCTCGACGAAATGGATCGTGACAACGACGTCTTTGTACAAGCATTGGCCAAGCTTGGCAGCTGGAATCCCTCAAAGGTGAAAGTCCTCATCACGAGTCGTCCGGTTCCTGCCGTTGAGGGCCCTCTACGACATGCCAAGTGCAACCAGATTCGTCTTCAAGAGAACATGGTAGACGCTGATATTTCGACATTTGTGCGACAGGCGTTGAGTTCTTCGAGCATCTCCGACCATGATCGACAGCTCATCCAAGAGGCCATACCAGGTCGGGCTAATGGCCTCTTCCTCTATGCAAAGCTGGCAATGGACTCTTTCCTCGAGCCAGGGGCCGATATCAAGGCGGTTATCACCCATCTGCCAGCCGATATGAACCAAATGTACACCGATTTACTCCATGAACACTCCTCCAGATCAGGAGTCCTTGGCGCCGTTCAACGTCTGATCCTGCAATGGATTACCCACGCAACCCGTCCTCTTAGACTCCTTGAGATAGCTGAGATGATCAACGTCACCTACAACGGTGCCGATCAGGACTTGAAGGGCGCCAAAGACCTCGTTAGGGCTGCATGTGGTCCTCTCTTGGAAATCTTGCCGGACGAGACCGTGTGTGTTATTCATCATTCTTTCACAGAATACCTCAAGGGCACGACCAGATCATCTGATGATGAAGGTTACCCGGTCCTTCAGGATGGGGAGACAAATGCTAGCCTCGGATCGGCTTGCCTGGCTTATTTGCTCTCCGGAGTCTTTGACGAAGCCACAGAAGCAAGAGACACCCCAATCGTCAAACTGAAGCTGAAGTACCCCTTCTTAGCTTATGCACTGGATAATTGGCATGTCCATGTCGCTAGATCGACAGCTGCAGGCCACGACCAGACCAACGTTAACATGACGCTTGATAAGCTGATGCGTGATCCAGATTCAAAGTATACCTGGGTCAAACTTCAGTGGTTCACCATGGACTATGCCGACTCTGGCATAACGCTTCTCCATATCGCTGCAATGCATGGGCTCACTGCATACGCAAAACATCTTCTTTCGTCTCCCGAAACTAATGTAGATGCGGTGGATGCCCGCGGCAAGACTCCCCTTTGGTGGGCTGCTTCAAATGGGATGACCAACGTTGTTCAGGTCCTCATAGACGCTGGTGCGAATCCGGATCAGGACGAGACTACGAGTGGTCGCAAGCCCTTGCATGAGGCTGCCTTGAAGAACCATTCAGAGGTTATCAACGTCCTTTTGAGCGCTGGAGTGGACCCCTTGACGAAGAAGACTATGGAAAATGCGGGACGTCGGTGCGGAAACGCACCACGTTCGAAGGGACATACGCCTCTGATGGTTAGTGATCGCGTCTCGAGAAACTGCATGTTTGCATAACCTAAAATATCATTCTTCCGCTAACGTTGTATACAGTATGCTTGCAAACATGGGCACATCGAGGCCCTGGAGGCATTTCTGCCTTTCCTCAAGGATGAAGAATCAATTCACCAGGCTCTTGCATGGTCTGCTGGAGCAGGCCGACATGATTTGGTACAGCGGATCCTCCAACAACCTGGGGTTGATATCAACCATAAGATTTGCGGCGGGACACCTCTCTTTATGGCAAGCCGGAGCACTCACATCAAGACTATGGAGCTTCTCCTAAACGAGGGGGCCGATCCAACAATGCGTTGCGAGTTTTATGACGAGTTTGCTGGGATGGGCGCCAGGAGGATGTTGTTGCCTCACGAAGAAAACGATCAACACCGAGTTGTTGGAATTACACCTTTGTACGCCGCTCTCGAACAGTCAAACAGAGGCAGTGCCCCACAAGCTGAGCCTGATAAGCTGAAGAGTCTGCTAGACTTGTTCATCGAAAAGGGAGCCGACATTCACGATAGGTCTCCTTCCGGTAATTCTCTGCTACACGTAACCAGCGGCAATCCCGTGTGGCTAAGAATTCTGCTCGATGCAGGTGTCGATGCCAATGTCGCTAATAACGATGGCTGCACTGCCCTCCATGGGACTATGTTGGTCGATTCTCTGTCTCTACTTGTAGAAGTTGGTCAGGCCGAAATCAACAGGAGGGCAACTTCAAATGGGAAAACACCGCTTCTCCTCTCCCTTGGTCGCTACGACACCAGCGTGACCCTCAAGCTCATTGAGTACGGCGCCGATTGCACCATCGTTGATAATGACGGCAATGGGCCTTTACACATTTCCTTGCAATCCTACAGCTCACAACCTCAGATCATAGAAGCGCTCTTACAAGCTGGCGCAGACCTAAATGTGAGAAACAAATCCGGACAAACGCCCCTGGACGATATGTTCTCGCGGAACTCAGGGGTTTTCGATTTGATGAACGTCATGATCCAAGCAGGTGTAGATATCAATGCAAGAGACAAAAATGGCGCGACACTCCTCTTTCGGACCATCTCAGGACAAGCTTCCAGATCGAAGAAGGAGTTTCATGATACGATCATGAAGCTCCTGAAAGGTGGTGCCATGTTAGAAGCTCGAGATTTTAAAGGAAGGACCCTTCTACATGAGGTTGTCAAGACAGAGGCAGGCTATGCCTCTTTTGTCCGACCGGAGTTAGGTCCGTCCACCTTTGATTTCCTTGTGAGTCTGGGTCTGGACGTTCATGAAACCGACTATCAGGGCAACACTTTACTCCACGAATTATGTTGGCGTTTCAACACCGAATATAGAACAAAGGATATGTTAGACATGTTGAAAATGTTCCTCGACTTGGGCCTTGACGTCAATCGACCTAATCATCGTGGTCGAACACCGCTTCATCGGCTTTGTACCAAGGCTGAGGGTAGTCGTGTGGACAAGGTTGAGACCTGCTTGGACCTGGTCATTTCTCGTACAAAAGATATCAATGTTCGCGACAAGGAAGGAATAGCCCCCTTACATCTAGCCGTAACTGTTTCAGAGTACCTTACTGAGAAGCTGCTTGGCGCAGGTGCGGACCCTACGATCGAGACCTACGAAGGGTTGACGCCGCTTCACCTCGCCGCCAGATGTCGGCAGGCTAATATCGTTGGCATGCTTCTTGACGCTCTTCATAGGCGGGATTTGGGCCAGTCATTTGGCGGTTCGGAAAACAGAGGAGTCTGGCTGAAGGAGCCAAATACTAGCCCGATCACTGGAGTCAACGCTACAGCCAACAAAACCATCCGCGGGTGTGACTGCACACCACTGTGTTATGCTACTCTCTCAGGGCGGCCAGAGGTTGTCTCGATGTTGCTTGGAGCTGGAGCAAATGCGAAGGGGGTGCAGTTACGGTCCGCAATCACTGAATTCGAAGATGAGCTCGAGCTATGGCGTAGGAGATCACCCCATGACAATGAGAATGGGGCATGTGGAGGTCTTACGATGGAAGACGGCTCACGCCCGTACCTGAGTAGTCGGCGTAATGGCAGAGACACACTCGATCCACTCGAAGACACGGCAAGACTGGAAGAGATCATAGAGATGATCCTTGAACGTGGTGCTGATCTGACTAAGCAAAATCTCTGGGGCACAAACGACACACAATTCGGTTCCCTGACTGACACGACATCTGACTGCCGAGAGTATGCGTTGAAGTGCTTATCAGATGCTATCAAGACGCGGCCATTGAAGAACCCCAAGGTAGCAACACAGAGTGCACAGAGATTGTCTACATTTGACGAGAAGCTCCTCCCTCACCGACGTGACGCCATATACAAGGCACTCTGTGAGCCTGGCGTTGTTGTACCAGGAAAACCAAACGAGACTTTGTTCATCACGCGACTTAGACGTCGCGAGTACGATGTGATGGAGGAGTTGTTCAATCTGGGCATGGACTTCCTGGCTCCTCATCAGAATGGGCTTACTAACTTGGGTGCCCTCGTCAGGGGAGGGTTCACTTCTCTAGTCAATCGCATTGGCTTTCTCGTGGCTCAAGCACAGGTAGAAAAGGGCATTTGGGTTGCTTCGGGCGACGAGAAACTGCCTGTATTCGGCCATAACAAAACATGGACTCACGATGTGTCAGACTACATCAGCAACGAATACCGCCAGCCATTTTTGTTACAAGCAGTCCACCAAGAGGCTCCCATTTTCGATATGGTCCAGCTTCTTGTAGAGAACTTTGGCGTTGACATCGATCAGCTGAGCGGAGAATCCAAGAAGGCTGGCGAAATTGGCATGGCGAAAGATAGTGCCCTGCACTCGCTTTCCAAAGGCTATCACTGGTGGCACGTCGCTCAGGCTCTACCGTACCTGATCAGCAAGGGCGCAGATCTGGAGATTAGAAACTTCAGAGGGCAGACGCCGCTCCATATGGCCCTGGGCACAGAAGATGGCATCGGACTGTTTCATAAGGACGCCGCTCGCCAATTGATCTTGAGTGGAGCAGATGTTAACGCTGTGGACAAGCCGGGTCGAAGCTGTCTTTCTTATGCAGGTCACGATGTCGATCTGACCCGTTTCTTGGTCAAGCACGGCGCGATAGTTCACGCCGATGCGGTCTTTGGTGCTATCAACAAGATGCAGCCCGAAGTGCTCGAAGCTCTCTTGTCTGCCGGTGGTAATGCCAACATTCGGCTTGAGAAGAACGACAAAGTACCCTGGAAACCCCAGAATCGTCAATGGGACCTGAGTGGTCTCCCAGATGCCGAGTGGTACCCCTTACATCGCGCTGCGGCGAAAACTTGCAGAAACGCTTACGCACATGACCAGAAGGAAAGGACAGAGGTTCACTCAAGCGCCCTCAGCTTGATCGAGGTCCTCTTGTCTCATGGAGCTGACCCGCTGGCTACGTTTGTGAGATGCTCTGGGAAAGACTGCTACCACCAGAAAATTTACTTTCGGCGGCAAGAGGAAAGCTTTTACGCATCAAGTCGCTTTGGCGAGCTACCCGATGGATACGACACTACACAAGACCCAGACTACTCCGTTGAGCCGCAACTACATGAGGAATGTGTCGTCCTGCACCAGCTCATAGGTGGCGGACACATTGTGCATCCCTTCTTGAAGCTGCCGGGGATAGACGCCAATCATCGAGACGGCAGTGGTCGAACTCTTCTCCATGCTGCTTGCTCCTCTAAACGGGGTCCCGATGTACCCCTGAGCTTATTGCCAGGAGATCCATGGGATCCCAAGACATCGAAGGAGGTATCGCTCTTCCATCATCTCGTCTCTCTCGGCGCGGATGTGGAAACACGAGACAACAAGAGGCAGAACGTACTTCATCACATGCTCAGACCTCCTTCGAAGCTATTCGTTCAACCGCCAATTATCGAAAAATCACTTGCGCATGTGCTGGAGAAGCATCCGTCGATTATCGACCAGAAGGACGAGAACGGAAAGACGCCGTTGTACCTGGCCGTCCACCGCGCTCTCTACGAGAAGAGTACGACCGCAGCCGAGGCACTTCTCAGAGCCGGAGCGGACCCCCTCATTGCAGATAACGAAGGCAACACTGTCCTACACGTTCTCTCTCGCATGCTCTGGATTTCCACCATGAGGCCCCTATTCGATACGCTCATCGAGCGCGGGTGTGATGTCAACGCTCGCAATTCGAAGGGGGAGACGCCGCTGTTCTGGTACTACGCGGGGTTCAGGGCCGACTATCATGACATCTACACGCACAATCGTGACCCGGAGACGTACGACGAAGAGGGAGGGATCGCGGCGTTCGAAGAAGCGGGCGCGGATTTCCGAGCGCTGGATAATGACGGACAAAGCTTGTTGCACATTGCGGCGGAAGGTCACGTTCTTCGGTTCAAGACTTTGACGGCAAAGGGGCTGGATCCCATGTTGGAGGATAATAGTAGGAAGACTGCGGTCGACGTCGCGGCTGCGTGTGGTAACAAGGGGGTGTTGAAGCTTTTCAGGCGGGCTGATGCTGTGGATGATTCGGATGGCGACAACGACGATGAGTCGCTTGATCTGAATGATGTTTTCTGGGCTTGTTAGTTATTCTGTGAGACATGTAATTGCTTCAGTTTTCAAGAACGTCTCGTGATGAATTCCCGCGGCTTCCGCGGTATGAAACTGCGAGAGTTGGGTGAGAGACGGCCGTGGTTGACGCGATGTGTAGAAGACAAATGTGCCCCGCCTGGCCGAGCTTAGAAGTCGCAATCTCCCCTCTATTTCCATACCAAGGCCGAGTATACCGCCGGTGTACTCTGTCCGTCGGTTACGGTATGCATTCTGCAATGCCAACCTATGCAAATGTGATGCGTTTAACAACAAAAGGCGGCTGCAGCTGCCTCACGTGGAACTTGGCGTGACGCGGAGCAAGACTCTTTGAGCATGGGAGGGGTCTTGGCAGGCTCAGTACTCCGTATTGCAAGTTCAGTTCCCTCTCACCGAGTCACCGAGTCACACCTTGATCAAAAGCTGTCTCTTGTGATCCGGCGATGGGCTCAGGAGAAAACGCGTATTAGGAGGTTTTCCGATGAGTTAGCTTGGTCCGGGGAGTGTCGGTGCACTAGCAGAACTCAGCTCGGGGAGTGTCGGACAACCTGTCGCGCTGTTGCGTACAACAGACTTCTCGGCATGTTTATGGAAACGGGCACCGCGTGGAATGCCGAAGCTAAGAGCCGCCGCCGGATTGTTACCCATCCCGGTGGCTGAAAGGGGAGTTTTGTCCAATCAGCGGGGGACTTTGGGATGCCGTTATGGGGTTGGCAGGGATAAGGCTGGAGATGGACTTTTGGGGAGCGGAGATCCTTGTCAATAGGGGCTGTGAGGGAGATTCGAGCTTGCTTTATGAATAGCCACAAGGAGAGAGTCAAGTGACTAGTGGATGGAGAGAGAACTCTCCGTTTAGGGAGGCTTTAACTTAGAACGTCGTTGCAACAATTCCCAAGCGTTGTTGAGCTCGAGAGCTCCGTATACAACACCGTAGGTATGCTGTGATCTTAGGATCCGTTCTCTGGGTCGAGGAACGGACTCGTAGATGTGGAAACTTGCCGCGAATAACCACCCCGGCCGTGTTGAAAATCCCCGGCAAGCACTTTCGAAGGGCCTGGTATGTTCAAGTTACGTTGGCAAACTTCAATAATCTCAATTGGCACTAAGCTTCATCCTACGCCTGACTTTCCACTCCTCCGTACATGTAGACCCATACGAATCTAGACCTATGCACATGCACCCATCCCCACAATCTAACTCTTGTGCGTGACCTCCACATGGGAAGCCTCTGCTTCCTTCAGCGCGCTCGAGGCATTACCCGTGCCCACCTCCGCAGACTCTCCGTCAAAGATGTATGCCATATTCTCAAGCGTCCGGCCTCTTGTCTCTGGGTAGTAGAACCAGACGCTGATGAGCATAATGACGAGGACGGCGAGGAAGACAAAATAGTACTTCCATTCGATGGCCTCGAGGGCAATGGGGTTGACGAAAGTGTTGAAAAAGACACAGCCGATGCTCACCATGAGGGCTACCGTGAGGCCCTTTGCGCGCAAGCGGTAGGGCCAGATCTCGACGGGATAAGAGACCATTAGTGGAGTCAGGGCGATGTCGTAGCCGAGGTAGAAGCTATGGAATGTTAGTTGGCTGCATTGGGCTTTGGTTGGTGAGGATCTTACATGAAGAGGAATGGAATTACTGCTGTGCCGGTTGGGGCGTTGCCGGTGTTGGCGAAGCTGCCGGAGAGACCGGTGACAATGGAGAAGGAGATCAACATAATTGTGCCCTGTCTTGGTGTTAGCGATAATCTTTGGTCTTGCGATTCAACGATTGAGAACTTACCGAAGCCAAGAACAATCCTCGTCGGCCGGCCCTATCGACCATGATCGCGGCGGTGGAGGCGCATATGAGGTTCCAGATTTGGATGCATGCGGAGATGAGAGTTTGGTCGTCGACAGAGGTAATACCGACAGAGGACTAGAATGCCACATGTCAGAACTTGGGTCTGCTGTGTTAGGGGTGTTCTGACAAGTTCACTTACAAGTACCATGGCCAGATAGTAACTGACGACACCAACACCGCACTAGAGTCACATTAGTATCTTGTCTTGGTTACTAGTTTCAAAGTACTCACCCATTGTGCAAAGACACCCAAGCTGACGGAGATGAAGAGACGGTGTCGGTTTCCAGGCGTGGACCACAAATCCGACCACTTCGTCTCCGAGTGTGCTTCCTTCTCGGCCCGGATAGTATCTTCGATTTCCATCATCTCAAAGTTAACGAGAGGTGAGTGGATATCACCGCCAGCATGGTTCCGAGCAATGATGGCTCTCGCTTCGTCGGTTCGGTCTACTGATACAAGCCAACGAGGAGACTCTCCGATGAGGAGCAGACCGGGGATCGAGAGCAAGGGGAGAGTGACTTGCAACAGAGAGGGCAGTCTCCACGCCCAGTGATCGAGGTTTCTGGTTCCATACGTCGCCCAGGCAGCCACAACCGCACCAAAGTACCAGCCGCAGTTGTACAGAGCAGAGACCAACCCGCGGTGCGTAGGGTAGGCATTTTCCGTTATCAACAAAGGTGCCGAGAGGAAGAATCCAGAGGCACAACCGATGATGAAGCGGGCGCAGACGAAGGCGACGTCGTTGGGTGCTGCGGTCTGCAGGACGGACCCGGCGGCTAGACTGACCCAGGAGACATAGATGCCCATCTTGCGGCCGTACTTGTTGCAGACCCACGCGGCGACGGGGTACACGAGAACGTTGCCGAGAGAGTAGGCGGCGTTGACGAAGCCTAGCCAGGCACCAGTCGGTTGCTCCATGAAGGCGTGCCACTGGGGCAGCGCGAGCAGGCCGTTCATCATGGAGCCGTCGTACCCGTTTGCGGAGGCACACATGATGAGTGAGGCGATGCAGAGGTTGAGGCGGAGGATGTGAGGTTGCTTGTACCAGGGGCCAATGTCTGGTAGCACGGCCGCCAGTTCAGCACCGACGGCTTTGGTGTTTGCTTCTTTTGCGTGGCCCATTCTGGAGGATGTGAAGTTTGATGGATGGTCGAGATGGTGATGTCCCGAGCAGAATATCTACCAGATGGCCGGGACATGTCGTCGCTATATATCGTTTTGCCTGGGATCCATAGCGTGCCATGAGGTTTGCGTTTCTTCCTTGGCATTCAAAGTAACAGATATTGCTCGGCTCGGTCTTTGATGGCCGGGGAATGGCAGCATCCGCGTGAACTTCGGGAGGAATCAAAAATGGCTCGATGGCTGATGCTAGCCTGCTAGGTCGTCCGGTGTTTGGTGTGACCAATACCCATGTCACCTACTTGCGGAGAGAAAACCCCGCATAACTCCCTGCTGTTTAAAGCGCGGCAGTGGGCCAATGACGTTGATGATCAGGCCTAGACACGAGTTGAAAAGACTCAAGAGGTTGCGAGAGACTCCGCTTCTCGAACCACGCTGCCCATGGAGCCCCCAGGTTTCCAGGTTTGATATGTGTGGATTTGTGGGGGATATAACGCGGGTTGGAACACCTGGTCTCCCCCACACTAGCGGTCTTTTGAATCTGCCAAAATGGGGCCAGTGCTGCGGTCGGCAGGCAGGCAGGCAGGCGGGCATTAGGGAGGGCGCCAAGGGGGAGGCGGCGGCTCGCACTTCCCTCTCTTCCTCTCCGAGCAAATGACTCGTGAGTCTCGGTGAGACTATGCGGCTTTGCGCAGGCGTGCGGATTGCCGGACCGTTTCTCCCTCGCATTGGAATCGAACATACAGGCTCATCGATGTCTTTGTAAACACGAGGCAAGCCTGTTAGTTTCACTCACGGCGTGTCGACCGTGATCGAAGCTGTTGCCCAACTTCCAAGGTGATTGAAAGTGGCTCCCCCAAGATTTGGAGCGTCATTCAGATGCTACGCATAAGCAATCATCTAAATTTTGAGTATGATATTAAAGCATGTGAAATACGAGATGGGATATGTGATCTCAAGCGGGCTGGTCTGAAGAGGCTTAACTATTGAGTTGTGGTCAGCCCAAGAATGAGGTTAAGTGTTGGTGAGTTCCCTTTTAGATCATGACAGATGACATGGATTCGTGTACACACAAGTCCCCAACTGTCCACGCAACAAAGACTAACAAATTTGGACCAAGGAATTTGATGCTGTAGTTATCAGTTGTTTCTTGGGACTTGTGCAGACGGAAGGCAGCTTTAGTCTAGAACGTTGACTGGTGAGCCCACATTCCGGACGATGCCCGAGCCCTTGCGGCCCTTAGTCCTGGGTTTCCAACATTGTTCGTCCACCCCTTACTTTTGATACGATATACATGCACTGTATCTCTGTTTTCGCGCTAGTTCATCAAGTTGAGAATGCCGGGGACACTATAGGCAAATTGCTTTGGCTACTGACATATCATCGTAGATGGAACGTGGGAAGTTGAAGACAACATGAAGGCTCGTCTCTGTAGTGACAACTGGGCCTGGATAAGTACACAGGCTCTCGGCAGGTCAAAAAGTCATGTTCGAATATGTCGACGATATTATCAGCCAGAGTCCAAATATTCAAGGCATGGTATATCTGTGATGGAGACCAAACAATGGGTTATTAGACTTCGACTAGTCCTGGAATGTCGACCGTCTTGATGCACCTTGAAGGTTTCGAAGGCTGTATACCTAGTCTGCTTTTGAAATCGAGAGGCGACTGTTTCTTGTCATCATTATCGATTATACTGAGAGAGCCTCGATGTTCACTCAAGTACTCGATTCTTCGCAAGGGATTCACGCGTTGCCGCTCGCACAAGTCACCATGGCCATCATCACGACCACGAAGTCAATTCTGTGAGAGTTATGTAGCCCATAACTCTCTACCACGGAGATTTGTTGCGTCGAATACACAGGACTCCACATATGACATCCACAGCCTTGCTGGCACCCAGACAGAGCGGCTACAGCCTTATACGGGATGCTGGTCCCGAGCAAGCATACGACTGTTGTTACTCAAGCCCAAAATTCGAGTCCGTCACAAACGTGACGACGTATAATTCCTTCTACAGCCAATGGTACTCATGGTCT